GCCCAGCGACCGGCCGAGAGGAGGGAGGGCTCAGGGGGCACCAGGCCCCCCCGCAGCCGGGGCAGTGGCCAGCCGCCGACCTCCGGCGCGCCTCGCCCTCCTCCAGCAACAATTTTTTAACTCCTGCCGTAACATCTACATTTCTTACTACTACTACAGGGTTAGGCGATTGAACTGTTACCTATTCAAATGACCATATTTTTTTTAGGTGACATTATTTTTTATTGATTCAAATTACAAAAATGTGTGGAAATAATACAAATTTTCGAATCCATTCACTTTAGCTCGATGTGGCCACCTTTTGCCTTGACTATGGCCTTCAAACGGTTAAAAAATGAGTTGCATGCTGCACGAATATGATCTTGCGGTATTTTGGCCCATCCCCGTACAATGGCTTTCTTCAGCGCATCCATACTGGCATATTTTTTAGTCCTCACCTTGCTCTCGAAAATGGCCCAGATTGAATAGTCCATCGGATTTGCATCTGGCGAATTTGAAAGCCATTGTGTGGACGCAATGAAGTGTGGAACATGGTTTTTTAACCATTCTTGGTTCACACGAGCTTTATGAGACGGTGCCGAGTCTTGTTGGAACGTCCATGGTGTACGACCGAAATGTTTGCGTGCCCACGGCTTTAAAACAGCTTCCAAAACATTTTCCCGATAATAAGTCGCATTGACTTTGACACCAGGCTCGATGAAAACAATTGGACAGCGTCCATCGGCGGTCACAGCTGCCCATACCATTACTTCAGATGGAAAATTACTTCGGGTTGCCGTTCGTAGGCTCAAATTTTCGTAAGTGCGTTCAGTTAAGTAAACACGATCATTTTGAGAGTTTATGAACTGCTCAATAGGGAAATTTTTCTCATCAGAGAACACAATGTTTGGAAATTCGTCACGTTCGTGCAAGCGTAACAACTCCTTTGCTCTTTCGAGTCTAACTTTTTTTTTGCTTTGGTGTAAGATCATGTGCCTTTTGGAACTTGTAAGGCTTTACCTTGAGCTCATTTTGGAATATGCGTCGGATGCTTCGCTGGGATATTTTCAGTTCTTTGGCCATTTGATTACCACTACGGCGTGGATTTCGTTCAAGTCGAGCCTTCACTTTCCGAACCATTTCAGGTGATGTTGCTGTTTTTTTTCGTCCACCACCATAGCGTTTGACAATGCTGCCTGTATCATTATAACGATTTATGGTGCGATACACAAACATTTTATTCACTTTCAGATGCCTGAGCTGACGAACAATAGCTGGTTGTGATTTTCCACTCAAATATAACGCAATCACACTATTACGTTTGAATTCCATTTCGAATAAATTTTGTTCTATAAAACTTAGACGCAAATGCTTGTGGTAGCTTGTAAACAAAAGAGCAAAATAAATGTCTGATAAAAAAACGGAAGTTACTTATGACTCGACCTAATATTTAGTATCTGAGATCGCACTAGACCAGGGGTCGGCAACCTTTTGAGTCGGAAGAGTCAAAATTTCAAAGTTTTTAAAGAGCAACAAAATTTTTTCTTGCCAACAATAAATAGTACTCGCATAAATAAAGTTTTTTGATAAAAAAAAACTAATCTATTTATTCATAAGAAAAAATATCTATTTATTCATATATAAGTAGTGTTTTTCACAACAAATTAGACAATATATATATGGCATTATTAGATAATTACTTGTTATTTAAGTAAAAAATTAAAACAATTAAACATTTACTTACAACCCTAACTTGTACTTCAATAACAAACAATTGAGCAAACAAATTCAATGGGAGCGATGGCTTTGCATGGTTATTCAAGTAGAAAATTAAAACTTTACTAAACAATGTAACTTGTACTTAAAATAAAAAAACAATAACATACATTTGAGCAAACAAATTCAATGGGAGCGTTGGCTTTGCATTGTTTTAGAAAGTTTGGATAAATTTGGCTCATAACTTGTTGTTTTAAGTTTCAAACACGACTCTAAATTTTCATTTGTTAGTTGGCTTCTTACTTTACTTTTAATTATATTCATGCAAGAGAACGCTTGCTCGCACGAATATGTCGATCCGAAGATAGTCAGCACTCCAAATGCCAACTTCTTCACCTCACTGTAGCAATCTGGAAGACTATTCCATGCGTCGAATATAAGTTCCTCAACTCGCGGCATTTCTTTCAAAGCTGTCCACTTTTGTTGCGTTACGTACATACATTTCTGGACCTCCAACTCTTCCAACTTGCTTTTCAACTCTGTAAATTTTCCACTCCACAAAGCTTTACTTTTTAAATCGATCAATTGCATTTCTAGAGATCCAGTATCAATTCCAAATGGCTCAATGTGGATTTCGTTACTATTTGTGTTGAGAGGATTTACTATGAATGCTAGAGTGGTTTTGTTGGTTTTGAATTGCTCAAATCTGTCAGCAAATTCATCTTTAATTTTTTTTATAACTGTGCTGAAGTAATTCGTGTCAACAGTTGCACTGGTTTTATCGCGATATTGCTTTAGAAATTGAAAATGAAGTAATTTACCGCTCTGAATATCTTCTGCAAAAAGAATTAATTTTTCTTCAAAACAAACCAATTCTTCTACCAAAACATAGGCTGGGTTTCCCTTTCCTTGCAGTTTTAGATTCAGCTCATTTAATTTCGCTGTGATATCCACCATAAAGTAAAATTTTTGCAACCATTTGTCGTTCTCTAATTCAGGGTGATTAATGCCTTTTTCATTTATGAATGTATTTATTTCATTCAAGCACAAAGCAAAACGTTTCAACACCTTACCTTTGGAAAGCCATCGCACTTTATTGTGAAGAAGGAGATCGGAATACTGAGTCTCCATTTCGTTTAAGAATTCTTTAAACTGACGATGGTAGAGTGCTTTTGACAAGATGCTATTAACAATCTTGATTACCAAATTCATGACCTCAACTATTTCGGCCGGAAATGTTTGGGCACAAAGCGTTTCTTGGTGTATTATGCAGTGAAACGTAAGAATTTCGTGGTTTATTTTGCTCTGAAGAATCGTTGTTGCCCCTTTATTTTTTCCTGTCATACTTCTGGCTCCATCAGTTGCTATTGAAACGATTTTATTTAAATCGATCTTATTGTCTTCAAGGCATTTTTGCACGGCATTCGCTATATCTTCCCCTCTAGTTTGTCCCGAGAGCGGTAGCAATCCTAGAAGTTCTTCTTTTGGACCTTGGGAAGACATATACCTGACAAAATGGGTAACTTGTGCCGTGTCTTTTATGTCGCAAGACTCATCTATAGCAAGTGATAAGGCAGAAGAAAGTTGAATATCTTCCACCTGCAAATATGTTACATTTGAAGACATTTTAGCTATTCTATCTTGTACTGTTTTAGCGGATAGTGGCAAATCTTTTTTTTTTTCAAGATTTCTGGTTTGTTTTTGAAATTACGAAACAGTTCTTCAGATGCACGTATGAAGCAATCTTTGACATACTCACCATCTGTGAATGGTTTGTCTTTTTTTGCAATTTCTAGTGATACCGCGATGCTTGCCAGATTAACATTACTTGTAGATTGCGTCCAGTTACTTATAATGGAACTTGATTGTTGTTTTTGTTTTTGGAGCTCGTCGACAGCTTTTTTCGTTCTTCGCCGGCTGGATATTTACTAGCAAACTGAGTATGTTTTTTAGTTAAGTGTCTCTCTAAATTTGATTTCTTGTTGTGTGCGAGTTTTTCGTGGCAAATGAGACAAGTCGGAAGGCCATCTGAGTTGCATATGAAAGCGAACGACTCCGTCCAATCCCGATTGAATTCTCGATGCTCTTTTTCAGTTCTTCTCTTTTTTTTGTAGATGTCATGCTTGCGGTGAAGCTGTAATAAAGAATTTTTTAAATTATTATTTAGGTATCCAAAACAGCAGATGACAAGTTTTATAATTATTTACTATGTCAACGTATACCTAAGTAAATACAGTGACTCCCAAAAATATTCGGACACACCGGTACGACTAACTTTACGGCTTGATATTTCAATTGTTTACAAATCAATTGCCCTAGGTATTTTTTCTAATAATAAGTCATTTATTACTGTTGAGTAACATGTATAATTTATTTGAAAAATTTGCATACATTGCATAATAATTGTTATTAAAAGAAAAACTGTTTCACTTTTGGCTCACAAAAATATTCGGACAACATTAATTTTTACCATTCATTTAATGTAATTTTAGTATTATAAAATAATTTTAATACTTCGTGGCGTAACCTTTTTGTTTCAGAACGTGCCTTAATCTATTTGGCATATTATTTATAATTTTGTTTAAATATTGCACTGTTATATTCGACCATTTAGTTTTGAGTCTTTATTTTAATTCTGCCATTGAAGAAATTGCAGTTTGCCGATTTTTTCTATCCAATTCATCCCATACATTTTCAATAGGATTAAGGTCCGGTGATTGTGGTGGGGGATGAAGAATTTCGGCTATACTTAGTGATCGCCATTTTATCAGCACTGTGAACTAAATTATTTTTTAGTATATTTAAATACAGCGTTTTGTCCATGATACTATCAATGAACACTAAGTTCGCGACTCCGTGTGACGAAATGCAGCCCCAGACCATGACACTGCCTCCTCCGTGTTTCACCGTACCTCTTGTATTTTTGAAAGCAAACTCTTTGTTCGCTTTCCGCTACACCATAGTTCTTCCGTCGGAATTGTATAAATTGAATTTGCTTTCATCGGCAAATATTATGTTTTTCCACCATGTTTCATCCTTAGAAATTAGCTCTTTTGCAAAGCTTATCCGTTTCTTCCTATTTATTTCGTTGATAAATGGTTTTTTTCTAGCTACTCTTCCATTGTAACCAGCTTGCCTCAGCGTTCTCCGAACTGTTTCGGCCGACACTTGTTTGGAGTTTTCTTCTAATAGTTCACTAACTATTTTTGGAGCGCTTATTTGCGGATTTTTTTTTACTTTTCGAATAATTCTGTTTTTGTCCCTCGTGCTTAAGATACTTGGCCTTCCAGTTTGCGGAATGGATTCAATGCGATTCTCCATATGAAATCGTCGAATGATATCCGCAACAGTGCTTTTGCTTATACCAAACATAGCACTAATTTCGCAATAGGTTTTTCCTTTTTCCCGGTGGAAAACTACAAATTGCCGTATATCGAACGTTGTATTCTTTCCTTTGCGACCCATTCTGGAGGAACTCACGCTTGTTACTAAAAGTAGTGAAACGGCAGGGACATCTAATGCTCCTCTAGACGTTGTTTGTAAACAAAACATCCTTGCTTCTTGGAATATCGGGTTACCAGAAAGAGATTAGCGAAGAAATATAATACGTGTCCGAATATTTTTGTGAGTTGAAAATACGACATTATCTGTTTTAATAATTTTTATTATGCAATGTATGTAATTTTTTAAAATAAATGACACACATTTATAAATATTAATAAATGTCCTATTGCCAGAAACAACAACCATAGTGATTGCTTTATAAATAATCAAAATATCAAGCCGTAAAATTAGTCATACAGTAGTGTCCGAATATTTTTGGGAGTCACTGTATGTACATACATAACTTTGAGAAGATAATTCGCTTCCAACTCTTTTACTTGAAACAACAAACTTTACGTCACAGCCAAAGCACTGGTGAAGACGCCAAATTGTCTTGCGTCGAAAGCGAATTAAAACCTAGATAGAACATCCGACGACGGCGTCATTCGAGAGCTTCCGACGGACTGACAACAGTGACGACGCGTGTCACGGGGGAGGGGTGCGGTGAAAAGCGAGTACAAGTGGCTGAGAGATAGAATCGGTGCCTAATCCTCGTTAATCGATTCAGAACGATTTTTAAATGTTTTTTTTTTTTTTGATAAAATAAATAATATTTGCGTATGGAAGTAAAGAGCCGCAGCTTTACATCCAAAGAGCCGCATGTGGCTCGCGAGCCGCAGGTTGCCGACCCCTGCACTAGACTGATGAAGTGGTCTCTACTGATGTTGGATACAGAATGTATAAATTGTCGTGGTACTGGCAATATCTACAGGTTCGTGTGTTGCTTGAATGGTGTGTTGGAGTGGTGGATGTATTTGTACATGATTGGTGTTCTGAGTTGGTGTGGGTGTGGCAAAATTTGTCTGTAATGTTGGAAGTGAGAACGATGCGCTGAAATTCCCCTTCTCGAAGTAGACCTGGAATTCTTGGAATCGATGGTCAGGAAAAACCGTGAATTAATAAAAATACGCGAGTGTCCCGCGCGTGTTTTGCAGCTGTCCAAGAACCCCAGGTTATGGTCATCATCGACGTGTAACGGCAATTTGGGAACAAAAGGCCGCGGGTCGGTCCTTGGCTGAATGCGCTGGTAAAATTCCCTACCATAAATGACTCGATTGCTATAGCCACGATTTTACTATAAGCACGTTTCAACAATGTGACTCGGAATGTGGAATACTGTTGCAATGTTCTTGTATTAAAATCTTTACTTCGTCACTTAATTTTACAATCTGATTTCCGTGTTTGCCCCGTTTATCATTCAGAGTTTCTTCATTTAATATTTTTTTTTGTATGATTTCAATTCGTTCTTTCCCCACACCGAAAACATTGCAAATAAAACCTTTACAGACAATAATGTCATGGCCTTCAAAAGGACAATAAAAATTCCATGGAATCCGTTTACAATCGTGTGTAGAATTCTTTTTTTTCAGCATTTGACTTAACAAAATATTTTCTGCTTGGTAATCACTACATTTCCAAAAGTCGTTGTGCATGTTTTTCTGTTTTAGAAAGTCAATTTTCAAGAAACATTTCTTCGGGCAACAGGTCTGCATCTCGCTAAAACTGCTTTTTAGAGACGGTTTTCCCTGACCGTGATTTGTATTCCAATCCCTACAAAGGTTTTACTTTCACATTATTATTTACATTTATTATTACTAGATATAGTTGTTATTAAACCTTTACTACAGTTACTATTAATATTAGACATTATTATTTAGATTCGTATTATTCGACGAAGTATTCATAATGGTATTTAAAAAAACGATCCTGTTTGAATAAAATATTGTACAAATAAATTACCTTATTTCTGCAAAGTTTTGTGACATTTCTGTTCCACATGTTTTCATTTTTCGCCTTTTTTCGGTCTCTGCGAATTAGTATTCGGCATAATTAATCACAATTTTAGTTGATTTTAAGACAAATTTATTTTAGAACAAATTTAGTTAATTTATATTGCCGCGTATGTAAACTAGTAATATAAAGTTATTAACAGACCTTTCAGAAAAATATGACGCAAATTCTAGCAGTACTATTCCATTACGTTCTATCGATGTTAACTGTTACAGCGTCCTAAACAAAACAGTTGCTAAACAATATTTCCGAGTCTTTCTTGTTTGACTGAGGAACGTTGCGTTCGCGATGTCCCTTATGTATTTATTAATCAATGTGAAAATTTGTGAATCTTCCTTATACATTAAGGAACAACTTTCTCGCTGCAAGTTACATGTACCTCAAAATTGCCTCGATACTTTTTATCGGCGAATGTCGGAAAGCATAGGTTTCACCCAGTACGTTACAGCTTCGCTAGAGTTTTCTGAACTTATTGTTTTAAGTCTCATGACGATCCGTTAATATTTACTCAAGTTATCGTTTATGTTTTAAAAAATATTGCCTTTGGACGAAGACAAATTTTTCGTTTATAATTCTTATCTCGAATAATAATCATTGAATAAAAAAACTGTAAATAGAAAAACTGTGTGTCGTGACGTGCCTTACTACACTATATTTTTTAAAATCCAATTTAACAACATTTAATTTTCCAATATTTTGTAGCATGTGGACAATACTTTTTCGCATTTTCGAGCTTTAGTTCCTTTGTTGTACTCAACCCTTCAATTGTTTCCGGTATACGGGCATCATTTTCTTCGACTTCTACGGAGTTATGTATTGAACTAAGAATCAGTACTTTTCTGTTGGGTCTAGCTTTATAAATTGTCAAAGTGCAATTATTTGAACGATATATTAGGTTGTAACATATGAAATGTCCGATTTTTAAGGGTAACTTTAAATGAACACAACTTTTTTTCTAATTAATGTATTTAATCGAAATAAGAACCATTCGATTCTATAAATTTTTGCCAACGGGTTACAAGTTTTCTGATACCTTTTTGGTAAAAATCCAACGTTCTAGTGTTAATGAACTCTAGGACGGTGTCATCCACATTCGTCCGATTTCTGAAGGTTTTCTCATTGAGGAAGTTGCTTAGATGTTTAAAAAAATGAAAATCTGTTGGTGAAAACACGCAGCTTGTGCATCGTCATCTGTGCCACGTGCGGTCGAGCATTGTGATGCAGCAAAATTGGCCCCTTTCGGTTGATGATTATCGCTGATTTTTCTCTCAATTTTTCGTGCATTTTATCGATTTCGGTGCAATACTTTTCGGCTGTTATGGTTTCTCCAGGGTTTAAAAAACTATAATGGATTACACCGGCCATTGACCACAAAACCGTGAGCATTATCTTTTGTGGTTGTAGAGCAGGTTTCGGCATATGTCGTGGCTGTTCATCTGTATCTAGCCATTGTGCAGAACGTCGTCTGTTGTCGTATAGAATCCATTTTTCGTCACATGTGACAATGCGATCCAAAAACGGATCATTTTGGTTCCGAATCAGTAACGAATTGCATATTTCGTAACGACAAAACTTCTGCCAATCGGTCAATTCGTGCGGTACCCATTTATCCAACTTCTTTTTTTTACCAATTGAACCCAAGTGGCGTGAAATTGTCATGGCACTTACGTCAAATTTTTGGGCAAGTTCTCTAACCGTTGTTCGAGGATTTTCTTCAACAGCGAGTTTCAAATGGTCATTGTTAATGCTCATCTCTGGCCTTCCACGAGGTTCACTTTCAAGGCTTTCATCGCCGGCTTCAAATTTCTGATACCATCGACGAACTGTACGTTCATTTACTGCATCATTGCCAAATGCAGCGTTGATATTTCGAGCAGCTGTCGATGCATTTTTAACCACTTTTCCACTCGTATAAGAAAAGGACGCGAAAATCACGAGCATTCATAATGGAAATCAAACAGTAAATTTCTTAGATTAGATGCACATGCAAAACAAGTGAAGATCGAATTTAACAAAGGAAACTCTGCTCTTGAAGGTACATGTAAAATATCCCTAAAAACTTTAGTATTTTTGGTCATAACAAAATTTAAAGTACCGATAAACCAAAATCGGACATTTCATATGTTACAATCTAATAATTTTGTTGAGAAACGTGTCATATTGTCGTTTTTCTGTTTCGCCAATTTTGGTAGCTCCCTTCTATTTGCGCGAATTGTTTCAACAACCGTAGCTTTATTTGCTAAAAAATTAGTCGCTATTGACACGTTTGAAAAAAAATTGTCCGTGGTTATATTTCTTCTACATCCTGTATACGGTTCTACTAATTTCAGAGTGACAAACTCTCCAAGCTGAACCGAAGGTCTACTCCTCTCATCTTTTCCCAAATATGGAAAGCCGTTTATTATATATTTGCTGTTCACATCGGACGCTTACCAGAATTTGATACCACATTTGTCCGGTTTATTGGGCATGTATTGAGTGAATCTACACCTTGCTTTTGTTGGAAACAATTGTTCATCGATAGTCATATATGGTCCTGGTTTATAACAGTTTTAACTGTTTTCAACGAATTTGCACCAAACTTCGAAAATCAAAGCGAATTTATCGGTTTGTAAGCGTTGGCTTGGTTGATTGCTGTTATTAAATCGAATAAACTTCATAATTTCCGTAAAGTCATTTCTGCTCCTAGTGTTTGCAAAAAATGCCGGACCTCATTTTTTGTTCCATAGAAGTGATATGTCTATATTTATTGCCTCATAGGCGTCTCGTACATACAAGAGTGCAATAAATGCATATAACTTTGCAGCAGATAGATCCCATTTAGATCCTCATACTCCAAATGCTTCTGTTTCTGTGCACATTCTAATATGTTCGATTATATTATTTCCAATAATATTGTTCTTTCCAGCACGTCCAGTTTTTGAAAAAATTGCAAATTTTCAAATTTGGAATTGTGTTGTATTGTTACAGTAATAGTTATGCAATTTCTTTTGACACGAAATAATTCTCTGGACTCTTCCGAACAAAGTGATATAAATTATTATTATAATATAGACATCTAAATATGTTTAAGTAATGTTTAACACGTTCGGCGCCGCGTCACCCATATTGGGGTGACGGTTATGCTTCCGTGGGGGCCCCGTCACCCAAATATATTTTATTAATTTATATTTAAGATAAAATATTACATTATCTACGTCGCATGATATTCATCGAAACAGTCCAAGCACATCTGTGGCGATTTTGGGCAATTCAAACAATACGTTGTCGTTTTTTTAACGTTTTTCCTCGCTTGTTGGCGTTCGACAGTTTGCCTCTTCTGTTGGTAAAACAGGACGCACATCCTTCTTACAGGCTTGTTCTGCTGATTCTTACGAATCTCCAAGTGGTGAGACACTTTCCTCCTTTTGTGTCTATTAGTGTCGGGCATAGTATTTTCCGAGGACAACCATTCTGTGATTAAAAGTTCCCGGAATTTTCTTATCTCTATTTTTTTTTGTGTAGCTCTCTGATACACGATATGTGCATTTACGAACGTTGTTCCTAAAAGTAAATGTAATGCTAATTTGCGATACCACTTGATGATTTTTCGTATGTTTATTGCATATGACACCATCTGGTCGCTCCTGTCGATGCCAGTTTTTCCAATATTGTACTCCATTATCGCCAAAGGTTTTATTTTCGGAGGACGGCCGCGATGGGTAGAATCCGAGCTTGGAGTCATGATGGGTGCATGTTGATTTTCATTATGATCTTCTCGTGCCACCATTTCACCTCTTTTCTCAATCACCTCTTTTCACTCATGAATGGTGAAAATTTTCTCATCCGAGAAGACAATGTTTGGAATTTCGCCACTCGCAGCCAAGCGCTTCAACACTTTTGCTCTGTCCAATCGAACTTTCATCTGCGCTGCATTGAGGTCATGTACTTTTTGTATTTTGTAGGGCTTGAGTTGAAGTTCAGTTTTCAGTATCTGTTGGATGCTCCAACGCGACACGTTCAGTTCTTTAGCCATTTTATTGGCACTCCGCTTCGGATTTCGCTCGATTCTCTTCTTTACTTTTCGGACTATTTCTGCGTTAGTTGCTGTTTTTTTCCGTCCACCACCATAGCGTTTTTTAACACTACCAGTATCGTTGTAACGATTTATGGTTCGATGCGCAAACATTTTGTTCACATTCAAATGCTGGAGCTCACGAACGATAGTTGGAACTGATTTTCCAGCTAAATATGCAGCAATGACAGAATTACGTTTCAAATCCATCACTAATAACTTTTTTTAAGTCGTGATATACAAAAATGCTTCTACACGCTTGTAGATAACCTAACGAATTGTCAATATGTGAAATTGGAGCTGGATTGCATCAATTGTTTTTCAGCCGCAACGGTGTGAAGTTGGTAACAGTTCAATTCAGCCACCCTGTACTTGAGATATACGTTCTCCATTGGGATCACATTCTTCCATAATAGTCAAAAATTTGTCAAGATGCGTGAAGGCTTCATTCATATTTTTAATTGTCAAAGTTTTGACGTTTTTATCAGCTTCCTCTTCCTCACTTTCATTGTGTATTTCACTGTTACTCAATTGTTGCTCAATTAAGTATTCATTTGACAGCGGTGCTGAGTGAGATTCAATCAACTCATTAACATCTTCTTTGTTGACGTCCAAGTTTAGTTCATTCATTAAGGTAACTATTTCATCTGTGAGAGTTTCCGGTGTTATTGTATTCGTCGTGCAATACAATAATCGAAGCCGCTCTTTAAGTGTAAATTTCGTTTTGTTGTAAAAGTACCGTTTTATTTAAAGTGTTTTTAAGTACTCAAAGAGTAGAAACCTTACACGCTTTATTGACTATTCTTTGAACACAGAGGATTAAACAGTTGAATCTTTAAAAATGTGCGAAATAGCGAATTGTACGAAAGTAGAATGTGCGAAAGTCGAGGGCCGCCTGTATCTTGGCCTGGTGAAAAGACTTTCTGATAATTATCCGTCAATATGTTTACAAGTGGTAAAACTTTTCCAAGTCTGCTATTTTGTTCTATTATTTCATTGTTGGCAAAATGCAAGTTTGCTAACAGTAACTCAAAACGATTGCGGGACATTGTGCTGCGCGGAAATGGAAAATTGTATATAGGATCCGTTGACCAACATCTCCTGAGCGGTGTTTGTACTAGATCCATCCAAATCATCAGTCCGATAAATTTTTTAATTTCTTCGGAAGTGGTGGGTTTCCATCTATTCTGTCTAGCGTAATCAGTCGTTTCACGTTCAAGTAATTTCTGCTCTGCATATCTATTAGTTTCTGTGACTAAAAGGCTTATCACTGTTTCATCCAAGAATACCGAAAGAACTTCACTTGGGCTAATGTCAGACGGCAAATCCAACAGAAGCCCACTTTTTCCGGTGAACGGAAATGATTGTTGCCTGTTAGCGAACTCAGAAAATACACTGCAATTTGTCGGTATTATTTTAGAGTCACAGATGTTGTTCAATTAGTCCCTTGATTTTGCTATAAAAACTATATATTATATGTGAACCAAACATAGGTCGTTATAAATGATTGCTGAAAATATCATCCAAGCTTATGTGTCAAATACTGTGAAAATATTAATTGATACTAAAAAAAAGTGAATTTCAGAACTGTATGTAAATATTAGAATATTCTTATAACGAAAAAACATGAGATGAAAATTATATTGTTAGTTAAAGCACCAACAGTTACTTATTAAAATACTTCAATAAATAACCCCACGTCCAGCAGTACTATCACATATCTCATGAATTATTGGCAGAAAAACAAACTCGAACGAATTTAACACATTGACAGCCGGCCCCGTGAAAACGCGGGTTTATGAGTCTGTCGCTTGAGTAGCTGTTTCACGATGATGTGGATTTTTTTTGCTGGTATGAGTGTCTTACACATCGATTTGTATTTACTTGCCATGGTTACGCCGATCTTCATTTGTCATACTCTAAAGACAAAACGTACACAATGGTTCAGAAACAATCCGGGCAAGAATCACTCTCAAGCAGTGTATTCCGCAAACAGTATATCTTTCGTACGCTTATGTTTTTGGTTGAACAGTGTAACAAGTTTTTTTCTTCTGTAACTTTTTACCCATATAATATGAGTGAAATTATTAATGAGCATATTGCTGACTTTCTATCAGAATATTCGATACATTCAGAAGATTCTGATATAGAAGTCGAGGACAGCGATAGTGATGTGGGTCCAAGAAGAAGATCAAGAGCTATTCCACTACAGCATTCAAGCGATTCCGATGATTCCAGTGATTGTGAAATGTCCACAGAATCGCATCGTTACAGTGGAGTATGGTCAGATGTCGATAAAATTCCTAACATACCAGATTTTACTGGTGAGCCCGGCCCAAAGATTTTTCCTACTAATAAGAAAAGCATAAAAGAAGTCGTCGAATTGTTTATTGGCAATGATTTGTTTCAATTAATGATCAATGAATCCAACATCTATTACCAGCAAAATAAGGACAAGATGAGTGAGAGGAAGAAAATGTCAAAGTGGCGTGATATTACTCTAGCCGAGATGAAAAAATTTCTTGGTATAATTATAATGATGGGCCAGGTAAAGAAAGATGTAAAAGATGATTACTGGTGCTCCGATTTTTATACGAGAACCCCATCGTTCTCCACTATAATGCCACGTAATAGATTTCGCCAGATTTGGAGGACGTGGCATTTTTCAAACAATCAAACAATAACCGGTTCTAATAAGCTCGAGAAGATTCAGCCCATTCTGAGCTATTTATTAGATAAATTTAAATCGCCTAGCTTAGCTATTTATTAGATAAATTTTGATACGCCTAGGAAAGAACTTTCGCTTGATGAATCCATTATTCCATGGCGTGGGAAATTATCTATAAAAACATACAATCCGGCAAAAATAATAAAGTACGGCCTACTTTGCCGTATGCTATGCGAAGCTAGAACCGGATATGTTTCCAACATAGAAATATACTGTGCGGAAGGCAAAAAATTGGACCAGACAATTATGTCATTACTTGATAAAAATATATGTTTGGGACACCACTTAAGCATGGACAACTATTATAATAGCATTAAAACCGCAGAATTGCTTATGACAAATGGTACACGTGTTTGTGGTACAATTAGAGCAAATAGGGGTGTTCCCGAGTCTTTACGGCATCTCAGATTGAAAACTGGAGAATATAGATGTAAAAGAAAAGGTGAAGTTTTGGTACAGGCGTGGAAGCCGAAACAGAATATCGTATACATGGTTTCCACGATACATTCGGGAGAATTAATGAAAACAAATAAAATACACTGGAAAACGAAACAAGAAATAATAAAACCGCATTCCGTCATAGAATATAATAAATATATGATGGGTGTAGATTTGGCAGATCAGTATTTATCATATTATTCCATCATGAGAAAAACGGTGAAGAGGACAAAGAAGACAGTCTTGTTTCTTTTAAATTGCGCAATGTTTAATGCATTTAGATTATATATTGAATTGAATGGCAACATTATAAAATATAAACGATTTTTACATACTGTTGGACGTTCTTGGATCGAGGAATTCGCAAATACTCAAGATGTATTAAATGATACTTCTAGTACTACTCATTCTGATACTTCAAGCACTTCTGTACTTGTTCCTACACCTCGCACACCAAAATTTGATAGCCCCCAGACACTTTCGGGTGATATGAAGAAACATAAAGTTATCAGAATTCTTGGATCAGGAAAAAAAAACCGATACGTACGACGTCCGTGTAAAGTTTGTTCTGCTAGTAAAAAAAGAAGCGAGAGTAGCTTTATGTGTGCTGAATGCTTAGTACCTTTACATCTTGGACAATGTTTCGAGAAATACCACACTTGCCTTAAATATTAAAACTTTTGTTTTCTGTTTACGTTATATATATGTAATAATCCACCATGAAATGAGAAACTGTATTTTTATATTTTTAATTACCGTTAAATTGTATATGACGAATATGAAAATAAAATGTACTATTTTACGAAAATATATAATGTTTTAAATATTTTTTTTGGCTATTCAGTAATCAGAAACAAACGGATAAGGCCGGCGTTCGGGGTTTAAGTGGCCGATACGTTGGCGGCGCTCGGGCTTTAAATGTCTCTTAGGTCGCCGGCTGTCAATGTGTTAACATTACAACCTGTGTCAATATATAAAATTTTATTGAAAAATCAGCGTTAAACATTAAGATCTTGCTTTGTTGGAAATTCAGATTATATTCATTTGTCATTACTTGGAATAAATAGGGACTTCCTAATTCTGTTAATTGCAATTCAACTACAAAAAAGTAACAACTCTGTAAAGTAAGAGTATGTTAATGATGAAAACGAGGAACTATAAATTAATAGTGTCCATCAACTTATGTTGAACATTATGACAAAATTGTTACACAAAATTGTAACGTAACATTATCATTTCATGTAGTATTCTCCTAAAGTGTAATTGTTAACGATCTAGTTAAACTAAGAATAATCAAATTACGTAAAAGTTAGGACAAGTAAGAATGTATGTTTAGAATATTGATCTTAAAATTTTCTAATTAGTATATTATTCGCTAGAAAGCGCTAAACATTATCTGTGTTCTTTTTGTTTAGGAATAGAGTAACGTGTGTTCTTCAGATTGCATATTTGTACGAAGAGTGCATAGCTGTTCATCTTAACTTCTATTTTATTGTCAACCTAGGAAGATAAATGTCGCTTAAAGGATGTATTCTATTAAGGACTGCACGTATATGGAGAACTATCTGTTATTATTTGAAGTGTGATGTAGCAAACAAGAAAAAGTAAGATTCTAGCAAGTCAATAACAAAAATTTACAAATATTTTATGTATGATTGTATCTACTTATTTATTCTTAAGCGTTATCGTAGATAGTGAATTACATGTGTTTATATTAAACCATTTGTTGTGTATGTGTAAATAATTTACGTCAGTCACTCATTTAATAAATAAGAATCATTGATAATCCCAAAGTCATCTTCTGTAAACCTAAGCATATTTATTGCTCTCTATATATAGATATATATATATATACATATACAGGGTGTCTCCACCCTCTGCCACCCTTAATTATTCTGATTTGTCGGGGTACAAAAAAATAGTTCGGGAGAAAGTTAGTCTATTTGGGGAGATTAGGCTATGAGATTGAAGGTCATATCTTCTGAGATTTCTCTAATGGTAACGTTTGTTTAAAATGGAATGCCCTATTTTTGTGTTTGCCATT